CTTTTTGTTGTTGTCGGTCTCTTGGGGAGATTAAGCGTTGGAACTCGAACTCTCTTTTTGGTTGGAGAGAGCTGTGGCGTTTCCCTACTGCCCCGTCGCCATCTTGTTCCCCCCCCACCTTTTTTTAAAAAATGAAAATAGAGAAAACAACCAGGTGTATTCAACATAGTCAGTCAGCATTGGTTATAATTTGTGAAATTTTGTGTTAGCCACAAATCGGTGTATGTGGGCACTCTATAAAATGTATTTCTTTATGGGAGCTCAAGCAAAACTAAAAAGCCACTTAGCCAGATGGGCTTGAACTCAGGGCCAGAGCTCACTCACATAGCTTTTTTCACTCAAGTGTCATGCTTTATTACTTGAGCCACAGTCCCACTTCCAGTCTTTTGAGGCTTAATTGGAAATAAGAATCTCATGGATTTGTCTTCCTGGACTGACTTCAAACTACAGTCCTCAAATATCAGCCTCCTAAGAAGCTAGAATTACAGCCCTGGTTATTCCCAATGCTTTTGGCCAACTAATTTATCTGGTTTTGTTATCGTTGTTATTTTGTGTTATGCTGTGTTGTTTATTCCCATACCAAGGAATTCTTTAATTTCTTAGAAGATAGCAACTGGGCACCCTACCATGTAACTTAATTCTGATTGACACTGTGTGGAATTAGCACAGACTGTCTGTGTGTTCACCAACCTGGAAGCTCTCCAACTCTATCCTTCTGGGGTTTAATGGAGGCTTCATTATCTAGACATAACTGATTAATTACATAGGCATGATTGATTCATTGATTTAATTAATGATTAATGACGCCCATTATAAGTCAATCTCCAGTCCTTCTCCCCTCCCCAGAGATCAGGAGCTGAAAGTTCCAACCCTCACATGGAATCACATGGTTGGTTCCCCTGACAACCAGCCCCCATTATGGGGATATCTAGAAGCCTCCCCGCTGCAGCCACCAGTTATCTCACTAACATAAAAAGACTCACATAGCTGGGTGCAGGTGACTACTCAGGAGGCTGAGATCTAAGGATTCCAGCTGGATGTGAGTCCAGGGAGAAAAACCCATGAGACTTTTATCTTCAAATAAGCAGCTGGAATTAGAAGTGTAGCTTAAGTGATAGGGTGCCAGCCTTGAGTGAAAAAGCTAAGCAAGAGCACAAGCCCCTGATTTCAAGCCCCAGGCACACACACACACACACACACACACACACACACACACACGCACACGCACGCACGCACGCACATGCACATACACATACACACATGCACGCATGTGTACATGCTCACACATTCACAAGAAGGAAGAAGAATACATTCATAATTTCCATGATTCTGAGTTTTCAGAGTTGTGAGCCAGGAAGACAGACATAAAATACATATTTCTGATGGTATCAGAATCTGGATTCTGAGTTGGGACTCTGCCATCTTCTCGGCATAGGAGAAGAGATAAGGTGCTGTGTCTCTCTGAGCCTTTGATTCTAGTTGTCAGATTTCATCAAGGATGTACATGATGGATTCTGCATGCAGTCAGTATCATTTGACACACTCCTCCTTGCACACACTGCAAAATGAGTGGTAGGGCTGCTTGGGCTCACACTTGGCATCAGGAGAGGCAGAGATGAGGATGTTCATGGGCATATCCTTGTAGTCCTCCAATCACAAGTGAATGACCTGACTCAGACCTCTCTCCCTTGGCTTCCTCAGCTGTAAAACAGAGCATTACGAATGCCAACTCACAGCACTCATGGGCTAATCCCTGTAAAGTCTTGGGATGATGATGGATACATCAATGCCCAGTAAACTTCAGCTAATGCTCTGATCCTTGCCACCACAATCACACCGAGTCTGACCTATTGGGTCATGTAAAGTGCATCTTGTCTGCCTTCTGTTGACGTCCCTGGTGGGAGGGTTGGTGTCTGACACAGTCAGAACAGAATGCATGGCTTTGATAGGGAAAAAAAGAGTATGAGCCTATTGGAGAGAAAACAGATAGTGGCCACCAATGCATAATCTTATTTCTGTGCTTCAAAGAGGGTCATCTAGGACACATCTCCTGTCCCAAAGAGTTCACAGTCTAGCCAAGCTAGAAGGACACTCATCTTTTAGACCTTGGGAGGAAGGGGAATTGCTTTTCTGTGGCTGTGACAGAAGCAAAGACATCTCTCATTCACTCTAGAGACCAATGGATTGTGTTTAGAGAGAATGACCAAGGCAAGATGAGCTCTGTGGTCTCTAGGTTTGCCAGACACCATCCTTTACATCATTAAAACAGAAGCCAGTGCAGTTTGAAGAAAAATGGATTATGTAACATCTCAGACCCAAGTCAAAGGAATAAGGTTTCTCAATAGCTCTATACAAGCTAAATTCTTCACACATTGTGGGATCTTTCATAAGCCCTATGCAATTATGCTTCATCACCTCCACAATCATGGAGGAATATAGATACTGAGACATTTGTCCTCGGGGGACTTGCCAAGAATTTTAGGGGCCTTTGGTCTATTTCTCTGTATAGCTATTTCCAGGGAGCATTTAAAAGTGCCTTCTGAGCCATGGATTCCCCAACCTCTAGGCCTAGAAATGCTGCTCAGATTCATGGCTAACTTCTCTAGCATCAGAGACCCAGGCTAACACCAAGGCCTTTGCAAATACAGAAGGTAAAGAACCCATAATAAATGTCAGCTAGGGACAGATAAAGGGACAAGAAAGCAAGTCAAGCAAGTGAGCACTGGTGGCTCACTCCTGTAACCATAGCTACTCAGGAGGCTGAGATCTGAGAATTATGGTTTGAAGCCAGCCTGGGCATGAAAGTCCATGAGACTCTTATCTTCAATTAACCACAAAAAGCAAAAGTAGAGCTGTGGCTGAAGTGGTAGAGTACAAGCCTTGAATGTAAAAGCTCAGAAACAGTACTGAAGCCTGCGTTCAAGCCCTAATACTGGAAGAAAAAGGGAAGGAAGGAAGGAAGGAAAACCATGGTCATGGTTGTGAGAGTAGTGTCCCTCTCCCCAGTTCTGTTGCAGGCTCATCCACAGAGCAACATCGATGCTGAATGCAGAGACGAGGCCCCTGTAGGAGAGGTTTGGCTGGATGAAGGGACAGATGCATCTATGATTTGCATCATGTGAATTGGGGAATCTGGGTCTGGAAAAAGCTGAATGGTAATAGGTCATGACCTTGTTGCTATGTAAGAAGGCTTTGGGTTTCCAAGGGATTCCTTCTAGAGTCTGCCTGTGACCTTACTGCTCTCACCCTGTGGTTGTCTTCTTGGTCTCCAGCACCGTTTCCCCACACCACCACCCTCTACCCCCCAAGGACTTCAGGTTATTCTTTCCTCCCCACAGCTTTAGAGATCCAGAATGTCAACTGGCAGATAAACCCCAACCGGGGCGCGCATCATACAAGCATGTTCTCCAGCAGGGAGCTTCTTGTACGAAGAGGTCAACCCTTCGAGATCTTACTATACTGTAACCGAAGTCTTCAGTCTGGAGAAAGTATGGATTTCATAGTTTCCACAGGTATCTACTTGCTCCCCTTAACACACACACACACACACACACACACACACACACATCAAGGGGACTGGTAACCACATTGAGATCACCTGGCTTGGGCTCTCACACAGCTCAGCCATTGATTCTGTGTTCCCTTGGTGACTACCCATCTCTGAGCCTGATGGTCATCATCTTCAAACCAAGAAGACTATGACCTACAGTTATTTCCAGCACTGTAATGGGATATTTTCATTGGACAAAATCCCCCATGAGTTCCTGGAACTGTACTCTGTCCTCCATGGTCTGACCAACACCACTTGGTATTCTTTCTTCTCTATCTTCTCTGACAGGGCCTAACCCATCAGAGTCTGCCAGGACAAAGGCTATATTCCCACTTTCCAATGAGACAAGCAGAGGTGGCTGGAACGCCGTGCTCAAGGACAACAATAACAACGTCCTGGCCATCACCATCACCAGTCCTGTCAGTGCGCCCATAGGCTGGTACACGCTGAGCCTTCAGATCTCCTCCAATGGCAGGGCCGCCTCTCTGAAACTTGGGATGTTCATATTGCTCTTTAACCCCTGGATGCAAGGTGAGTCTTTAACCCCACACTCCAGGTGATGATCTTAGCAAAGGAAAGGATGGAAAGGAGCCAGGGGGAAAGCTTTTCATGGGCTCAGGGTTGATTAGGGGGAGGCTGTGGGATCAGAAGCTCTGTCACTTAGCCAGCTGCGTGAGTCTGGCAGCCACTCTATCTCTCTGATCCTCAAATTCCTCCTTATTAAGTGGACATCCTGCTGTGTCCAGTGGGACTCTTATGGGGATCACATGAGCCTTTATATATTGCACAGCATGGTTAATTATAAGGGACAATAACTGAAATAGCATTCTACAGTATGACTACCACTTCCTGTCTGAAGGAACAAGCATTGATCATACCTGGGTCTCATTTTTAGGCTCTTACTTTATCCTCACTTCTTATTCCAGCCATAGTTTCCTCCATAAGAGCTGAACAGGACAACCAAGACTTTCTTCTATGGTGGAGATTGGGAGACAGACAAAAGGTGGTCCTAGCTCCAACTCCCACATTAGTTTTCAGGAGTGAGAGGGAAGACTGTTCTCCTTGGTCCTATGTGGTATCCTAGTCCCTGCTATCTGCTTTTTATTAATCCAACAGCTGATGATGTATTTATGAGTAACCACGCTGAGAGACAAGAGTATGTGGAGGAAGATTCTGGCATCATCTACGTGGGCAGCACAAATCGAATTGGCATGGTTGGCTGGAACTTTGGTCAGGTAAAAAGGTTATAAGGATGTTGAAGGTAACGTGCCAACAACACAGGAAGCTTAGAGACTTGCCCCATTACCTGCCCTTCTCACCTTTTATTTATTCAGAAGATGTTTATTGACCACCTATTATGTGCCACCAAAGATAACCAGAAATGGATAAAATCTTCTGCTTTGAGGGGGAGGGAGTCACAATCTAGTGGGCAAGACAGACACACCTCACTCAACCAATGTAATGAAGTGTTATTGGTACCACATTGTACAGCAAGTAGAAGGCCCAGGGGAGATTCTCAGGATAGTAGCCTCATTTCTGTTACTCATTTCATGTAACAATGCAGCGTGATGTACTTGCTGCATGCACTTGATTACCACCAAAGTCCAGAAAGTTCCCAGTGAGTGAAAACTTTCAGGGATACCCTTCCACTATGTCTTTATTTTTAGGTGATTAAATGAAGGATGTACCTTGAACAGCCAGGGACCCTGGGCTATCAGGAATAGCCTGGCAGGTGCATACACCAACCGTTCTAGGCCTCCATTCTGTAGCCAAACCAAACAAGTCTTTGTTGGTTTAATTAAAAGGAAGAGAATTTTTTTTTTTTTGGTCCAGTCATGGGGCCTGAACTCTGGGCCTGGGCGCTGTCCCTCAGTTCTTCAGCTCAAGGCTAGCACTCTACCACTTGAGCCACAGCGCCACTTCCTGCTTTTTTTTTTTTTCCTGCTTATGTGGTGCTGAGGAATCGAACCCAGGGCCTCAGGCATGCAAGGCAAGCACTCTACCACTGAGCACCTTCCCAGCCCAGTTTTTTTTTTAAAGTATAAAGGAGTAGAGGTAGAGGTAGAAGGAGGTTGCTATTTTTTGGTGGAATGGCTTGAGAAAGTATTTTTAAGAAGGAACTTTTGGCTGAGATCAGGAGGACTGAGATTCAAGGCCAAAATTTCACTCAACAACATCTCCAAAATAACCAACAATTAGCAGGACTGGTGGCATGGCTCAAGTGGCAGAACACCAGCCTAGTAAGTGAGAGGCCTTGAGTTCAAACCCCAGTATTGCTTTTAAAAATTAAAAATAAGTAAATAAATAAGAAGGAGCTTTTTATTCTGAACCAGACAGAGGCAAAGGAGTCTGCCAGAAATCTTAGTAGAGAGCATTCTAGGCAGAAGAAAAAAGCAAATGCCAATATCTAAGTCATAAAAAGATAGTATCAAAGTGATTCCATCATATGAAAATGGCTTCAGATCATTATATATACATATAACACACACACACACACACACACACACACACACACACACAGGGCCTGGGCTTCATATCTGAGCTATTTTTGCTAAGGCTAGTACTCTACCACTTGAGCCACAGCTCTACTTCTGGCCTCTTAGTGCTTAATCAGAGATAAGAATCTCACACTTTCCTTCCTGGGCAGGCTTTGAATGTCAGTCCTCAGATCTTAGCCTCCTGAGTTGCTAGAATTACAGGCATGAGCCACCAGTGTCCATTGTATTTTATTTGTACAAGTATCCCAGGAGTTTAAATAATGTGCTCAAGTTCACAGTCAGAGCTCAAAAGGAAACTGAGATGACTTTGACCTGATTCCTCACTATTCAGATATAGAAATCAAAGTCAGAAAGGCTAAGCAACTTACTCCCAAATCCACAGCAGCCAGGGCGTGGACTGCACCGTGTTCCCTCCTGCTTGCTGTAGGGCAGTGGGTGTATAGGAGCTTATGAACATGAGTGCTCAGCATAAGGCTAGCTATGTAGCTGTTCCTTAGCACCTCTCAGTTCTTAGGCCACAGAGTAAAAGGCCCTGGATCGGTCCGATGGGTTCCCTTAATTAGCTGACAACACCTGCCATTTCTTTATTGTAATCTATGGCTCTACTCTGCACAGTATGAAGAAGATATTCTGAGCATCAGCCTTTCCATCTTGGATAAAAGTCTGAATTTCCGCCGTGACCCTGCTACGGATGTGGCCCGCAGAAACGACCCCAAATATGTTGGCCGGGTGCTGAGTGCCATGGTGAGTAGCGGGAGAGGGAGATAACTGGTTGCTCTCGTGCTGGGTTAGGCATGCACACTGCATGTATACCATCTCAGGAGAGTGCCCTCAAGTGTCCACAAATCCTCTAAGTTCAAGGGCTTGCCTGAGACACAGGGTGAGTGAAGAGGAGAGGCAGAACTGGACTCAGGTCTAGCTCCAAGCTGCTTTTTTTTTTTCCGGTCAGTCATGGGGCTTGAACTCAGGGCCTGGGTGCTGTCCTTGAGCTTTTTTGCTGAAGGCTAGAGCTCTCCCACTGTGAGCACAACTCTACTTCTGCCTTTTTGGTAGTTAATTGGAGATAAGAGTCTCACAGATTTTCCTGCCCAGGCTGGCTTTGAACTGCAATCCTGAGATCTCAGCCTTCTGAGTAGTTAGGATTACAGGCGTGAGTCACAAGAGCCTGGCCCAAGGTGCTTTCTGTTGCTTGGAAAAGCTGACTCAGCAGGGACTGTACCTTGTCCTTAGAGTATCTGCAAGGGACAGGATGGGAGGAGGATGCAAAACCATGGTTCTACTTTCTTGGGGCTTCCTAGGAAGGGTGACGTATCTCCTAGTCAGCCTGAGGCCTTGATCTCCTTGGCTGTCCTGTAGCTCATCCACTGCATAGAGCACTAGAGTCCGGACAGGATGGCAGAACACCCACTCACTCTCTAGATGGAGAGAGAGGCTCCAGGAACTAACTGACCTGCTCACAGTGGGAGTCAAGCCATAACAAGTCCAACAGCTGCCATCTCAGAGCCTCTGGGCCATTCAGCTGGGCCTCCCTGACCCACCAAAACTCATGCTCATGCGCAGGAGCGCTCACACACACACACACACACACACACACACACACACACACACACACACAATCTCAGAGAAATCTTGGATTTCACACTCAGTATAGATGTAGTATATAGTATATAGTGACCCATCTCCTCAAAGTTACAAATTAAAAAGCTAAAAGTCAAAGCCAGTCCTTGCATGGTAATTTTTTTTAAAGTCAATAATTACCCTGAATTATCCCTCATTCTTTTGTACTTTGGTTCATGGTTTAAGCATGTTGTGGCTTCTTTTTTCTTTTTCTTTTTTTAAAATGTTTTGGATTTGAATCCAAGGCCTCACACATGCTAGACAAGCCTTCTATCACTTGAGCCCTGCTCTTAGCTCTTTGATTTTTATTTTGTTCTTGAGTTAGTCTTTCTACCTTTTCCTGGACTGGTTTCCAACTGTGATCTTCCTGTATCTGCATCCTAAGTAGTTGAGATTATAGGCATATATACCAGGCTCGGTGTTGGTCTCTTGTAAGATGAGACAACCTATCAGCCACATGATGAATACCTGTAGTTCTTTCTGGAAGTGAGCTTCTTGGAGTGAGGTAGGTCTGAAATAAGCCTTGAAGGACATGAGAGGGACAGGCCCAGAGAACTTGAGGCCCTGAAATCAGTGAGGACTAGAGCACCCAGGAAAATGCATAGAGAGAAAGAGGATCTCAAAAGCCAAGAGATCTGGAATTCAATGCCACTTGAGAAACTGAGACTCTGTCCCCCAGAGACAGTGGGTGAGGCCAGCCCAGCTCCCGAAGCTGCTGACTCACTCTCTGCCTGGGGCCAACCCACTCTATGTCCGAGCCAATTTCCTCTGCTGCACCTCCCTGATGCTCTCTTCAGACCTCCCTGTTGGGCTGGGCCAGGAGCTAATTATGGCCTGTGCAGGGCTTTGAAATGCTCAGCTTTCAGCCAGAGATGACCCTGTTGATTACCACGTCTGTGGCTGGAGCATCTGTGACTCAGGAGATGGTGAGAGGCTGTGCTCTTCCATCTTAGAGAAGGCCCAGCTTGCCTGACCCTGAGAAAACAGGCACAAATCCTCCTAGAAAAGGTCCCCGAGATCACCACAAGGCTGAGGGGTCAGGGAGAGCTGGGCCCAGGATCCTTCTGTGTCCTGATTGTCCTCGCTTATAGGCCCCCACCATTCTTGGTGCTCTGAAGAGATGCAGTGGACCTCAGGGCCTCTCATTGTACAATTGGGGTAAAATGACAACATTTCCTAGGCTAGAAATGTGACTTCTTTGAGGCACCTGAGGGTCTATCAGGTTCCCACTTTCCCTGTCTTGCATAGTGAAGAAATAAGCCCAGAGAAGAGACTTAACTTGCACATGATCACCAAGCAGACAGTGGCAAGGCAGTATTGAGAACCTGAGATGTGCCTTTCTCTTTCCTGCTTGCGGTGTGTGTGTGTGTGTGTGTGTGTGTGTGTGTGTGTGTGTGTGTGTGTGTGTGATGCTAGGGGTCAAAACCCAGGCAAGTGCTCCCTGACTGAGCCATATCCCCTGCTCTCTCTTTTAATTTTTTATTAAGCGAAAGGTCAGACCTGCCCAATAGTAGAGAGGAAAGTATAATAAATTCCTGTTACTAGCTTAAGCAATTACCAGCTCAAGGCTCATTTCATGTCATCTCTGACCCCCCTCCCCTACAGATAATCTGAGAAATCTGACATTCTCATGTGTGTGTCTAAGATAGTAGAACTCATGCCTCTTGAGTTCTTCCCATGCATGTTGTGTTCTTTATTCTAGAACCATATCTTTCATTGAATGAATGAATGAATGAAAAAATGATGAATGGACAAATGAATAAACAACAATATCCTACCTTTGTTCTTTCCAAGCAGCAGGTAGCTACTAACATTTTAAAATGATCTTTTTAGAAGACTGGTACCCTAATGAAGCATGTTAAACCATGGACTCCAAACAGATCAGCCTGAATTCTTTTGGAATTCTTCCTTACAAGCCCTCTGCAAGTTGGACTTTCATTTCTTCCTTCTTTTTTTTGTGTGGGTACTGGGCCTTGAACTCAGGGCCCGGGTACTCTTCCTTAGCTCTTTTATTCAAGGCTGATGCTCTACCACTTGAGCCACACCTCCACTTCTGACTTTTTGCTGGTTAATTAAAAACAAAAAGTTTCACAGACGTTGTTGCCCAGGCTGGCTTTGAACCATGATATTTAGATCTCAGTCTCCTGAACAGCTAGGATTACAGGTGTGAGCCACCAGCACCCAGCTTCAAGCTAGACTTCGGACCCTACCTTGTCACCCACAAGCTGTGGCATCTCTTTGTTCCATGTCAGCTTGCAGCACATTTATCATTAGTCAAAGCGCCTCTAAACTCATAAGCTATCAGTGTCCCTAAAGGATTGTTAGAGTATCATCCCAGAGGAGTCTACTTGGGGGTCTTCATTCATCTCCCCTCCTGTCCTGGTGATTCAGCAAATCACTCCTGTAGCAAAGGCCTGGTGCTGATTTACTTTGGGGCTATTTCTTTCTGTCCAGGTCAATAGCAATGATGACAACGGTGTGTTGGCTGGGAACTGGAGTGGCAGTTACACAGGTGGCCGGGACCCAAGAAACTGGAATGGCAGCGTGGAGATTCTCAAGGAATGGAAAAAAAGTGGCTTCAGGCCAGTCCGATATGGCCAGTGCTGGGTCTTCGCCGGAACCCTCAATACAGGTAGACTGGCTGCTGGATCAGTGGGCAGTCGTGAGGGAGGCTGGGGTGGCTGTCTCTACCCTACACTCCATATCCTCACTGTCTTTGCCTTGCAGTGCTGCGGGCATTGGGGATTCCCTCCCGCGTGATCACCAACTTCAACTCAGCTCATGACACGGACAGAAACCTCAGCGTGGATGTGTACTATGACGCCATGGGAAACCCCCTGGATAAGGGCAGTGATAGCGTATGGTAAGTGTGGGACATCTTTCCTGGGCTCTGAGCACCAGCTCTGAGCAGCTTCTTGTTCTCACCTTCCTCTAGGATCCACCTCCATACTGGAGTCAGGAAAGGGAGTAACATGCAGCCATACATTCTTGCGAATGGAAACACTGCTCTCTTACTAATCAGGACCCAGAGCAACTCTCTCTCCCCCCCACCTGCTCCCTCTTTCCCTCTCTCCCTCTCTTCCCCTCTCCTTATCTCTCTCCCTCTCCCTCTCTCTCTCCTGCCTGTACTGGGGCTTGAACTCAGGGCCTTAGCTAAGCAACTCAGTTGCTTAGCTTTTCCCCTCAAGGCTAACACTCTACTACTTAAGATACACCTTCACTTCTGGCTTTTTGATTGTTAATTGGAGCTAGGAGTTCTCAAGTTTGTCTGCCTGAGCTAGTTTCAAACCAGGAACCTCACATCTCAGCTTCTTGAGTAGCTAGGATTACAGGTGTGGGCCACAGCGCCTCATCTCAGTGGTCTGTTCTAGCTTGCTGCTCTCAGAAGGGTCAGTGAAGGACAGTTCCTCGAAGTTCACAGAACCATACTGAGGATCCAGTAGGCCTAATAACACTTTAGAAGAAAAAAGCTGAAGCTGTTGCTTTTCCAGTAAGACATATAAATGTGTCTCATTTCAGACCTATATGACTCAAGGGCTTCCTTAACTAGACTAAGATAAACAATAGATATTCTCTTAACAAAACTATACTTATGAACGTTGGCTGACAGAATAAAAAGCTATAAACTTATTCTGGACTCTAGATAAAAATTTTAAAAAATTGTATCTGGGCATTGTTTATTGTTAAATATAAATATGCCACGGGCAAATATATCTATATGTATATACACATATATGTAATTTATAATAGGTACTAACTGAAGAGGATTATATAAAACATACATAGAGTGGGACATATATACCAAAATATTTATTTAAGGTTATTACTACTATTTAAAATTATAGCATATGCCAAGTTATAACCAACTGACAATTTAAAATGATGTCACTATTTACTGTACCTAGGTACCTGTGTGTTTCTCTTTGTGAAGTGTCACACACATGCTCATAATCTATTGTTATAATCCATTTCAAAGGATGCACAGACATGGTATCTCACAAGCATGTGTGTGGCTAGGCAATCTGAAAGCAAACGTCATCTTTCAACCTTGAGATGGCCTTTATAATATATTCTTTATTATTTCTCTTTCCTAGATTAAGATCCGACTTTTCTAAAATGTGCTTAGTGTAACTTAATGGAATAAAGTGAAAAATATTTAATAGAAAAAGCTATCAATACAAATAAACAATAACTGAACACTCCCCCACACTACACACACAAACACACACACACACTTGCGCGTGCACACACACACACACACACACACACACACACACACACACACACACAGAATGAAGCTTGTGTAATTCTCCTTAAGAGAAATTCTCTTCTTAAGAAAGAAGGCTTATTTTCGCTTATCTCTGCCATTCTGCACATACCCGTCTTTCTCTCTAATGACAGTGCTATTTGTGGTGATGAGATATTAATGAATGTCTCTTCCATTCCCTGGCTTTTTTTTTTATGGCGGTGATGGTGGTGGTGTCTGAAATTCCATAGAAACCAGTTCTGAACATGAGAGCAAAGCTAGTTTCCTTCACACTGCTGATATCTAGGCACCAGTGTCTCACATCTGTAATCCTAGCTACTCGGGAGGCTGAGATCTAAATAAGGATCATGGTTCAAAGCCAGTCTGGGAAGATACATCCCCTGAGACTTTTGTCTCCAATTAGCCACTCAAAAACTAGAAGGGGAGCTGTGCCTTGAAGTGGTAGAGCACTAGCATTAAGCAAAAGAACTCAAGGATAGCACCTAGGCTCTGAGTTCAAGCCCCACAATAGACAGAAAAAAAGGGGGGGTGGGGGTGAGCTGATTGATGCACAACATGGCTGATTGTTAGGAATGCCCCCTTTGGATGACCCTTCTATGATGAGCCTATAACTGCAAGGAGACCAGACAGCTTAGGACTCAGTCCCTCTAATGAAGTCATTGAATGGTGCTACTAAGGCTGCTTAGCAGCCTGGATATAGTGTGTGGCATGCCCAGTAATTGACTCAGAGTGAGCACATGCTGTGGGAACCCAGGAAGGAAATCCTCAAGGCAGGAAGGAGTCTGTGAAACAGGAAAGTGGAATTAGAAACTAGGTCTCTTAGTTACTGGCTCACACCACCTCCTGTCCTTAATAATGTATTCCCAATATAATCAATCATCTTTGGGGCAAGTAGGGTCCAATGGAGACGTGCCTGGGTTGGTTCTGCAGCCATTGCTGTGGGCCTGGCAGGAGGGAGGATGCCAGAACTGGAAGCTCTGATTATCCCCATAGGGCCTGTCACCCTCACTCTCCTACTCCCTTTTCCAATCCCTGCACAGAACACAATAGAGCTAGTGGCCACTCCCTTCCCTATTCCCCGATACCTGTGCCTGGGAAACTAGCTTGAGATTATGGGGACAGGGTGATCCTCGCAGCCCGGTGTGGGACTTGTGAAAGCTACCTCATCTTTCTGGCCCCAAGTTTCTCCATCAATGAAATATGAGGGTTGGCCTAGGACTCCATAATCCTTTCAATCCCTCACCAACTTGGTTACTTATTTTCTGCAGCTCCAGCCCACCCTACTCTTGAGAGTGACTCCTCCCCACGGGAGCCATGCTGCTTCTACATTAAATCCACCCAGAAGGGGAATGGAATCAACTGTTATTTTTTGGCCTGGAGTGAAATTTCTGATTTTTTTTTTTTTTTGCCAGTTGTGGGGCTTGAACTCTGGGCCTGGACGCTGTCCCTCAGCTCTTCAGCTCAAGGCTAGCTCTCTACCACTTGAGCCACAGCGCCACTTCCAGTTTTGTGCATGGTTTATTGGAGATAAGAGTCTCACAGACTCCTGCCCTGGCTGGCTTTGAACTGTAATCCTCAGATCTCAGCCTCCTGAGTAGCTAGGATTGCAGGTGTAAGCCACCTGCGCCCAGCTATTACTACTCTACTATAAGGGCCGTCTAGGTTTGGACAGAAAACCTTCAGTCTGAATCTTTGTGTGTTCCAAATAGCACAAGCTTTGGAACTTTGTCTAGGTTTGCCTAAAGTAACAAAAGTAAGGGTCTAGTGAAAATGTTTAGTAAGAATATGAAAATGCCTAGATACAAAGAAATACTAAGAAAATGCTTAGTAACAATCATAGCAACAATAAATTGTGTGCATGTATGTGTGTGTGTGTGTGTGTGTGTGTGTGTGTGTGTACTGGTATGAGAGGACTTGAACTCTGAGCCTTATTTTCTCCTTGGCTTCTTTTTTTTTTTCCCTTGCTCGAGGCTGGCACTCTAGTACTTGAGCCACAGCTCTACTTTCAGCTTTTTGCTGGTTAATTGAAAATAAGAGGCTTACAGACTTCCCTGTTTGGGCTGGTTTCAAACTGGGGTCCTCAGATCTTAGCCTCCTGAGTAGCTAGGATTACAGGCATGAGCTGAGCCACCAGTGGTCTAGGTAGCAATGAATAATTTGCTGAGCCAATGTTATATGCCAGAATCTGAAAACATTTCCACTTATTCTTGACAAATGGTGAAGAAGGCACAATAGTTATCCCCCCTTCTCACAGATGAGAGAGCAGAGGGCCAGAGAGACTGAACAACTCATCCAAAAGCAGGTAACTAGAACACAGTGAGGATGGGATTTGAACTCAGGCACATTTATAAACTACAAAGCATCAGAGACATACCAGAGAATGGTGTGTATGTGTATGCTGATCCTGGGGCTTGAACTCAGGGCCTGGGAGCTATCGCTGACTTCTTTTTCTTAATGCTAGCATAGCACTCCACTACTTGAGCCACAGCCCAAGCTCCAAGTTCAAGCCCCATGACCAACAAAAAGAATAATAATAACAACAACAAAAAATAACAGTTAAAGACATTTTGTAGGTCTTCCTAAAGATAATTCTTATTATGACCCTTTTTTACAATTATAGGAAATTTCCAAATTAATAAAGAAGCAAACCTATGTATCATCCCATTGCTTACATATTTTTAACATTGCTATTTTCTACCCAGCCTTCACTAGTCATTGGTTGTAAAATTGAGATTATGCATTTCTCAAGGTTTGAGTGTGAGACAGAACACATAATAGATATAATCTACTTCCTACTACTATCACACCTACAAACCAGTCTCTTCATACCTCTAATCACATTTGTTTGTTTGTTTTTGTCAGTTGTGGGACTTGAACTCAGGGCCTGGGCACTATCCCTGAACTTTTGTTCAAGGCTAGCATTTTACCACTTGGAGCCACAGTGCCACTTCCGGGTTTCTGGTAGTTTATTGGAGATAAGAGTATCACAGGCTTTCCTGCTCAGGCTGGCTTTGAACCTCAGTCCTCAAATCTCAGTCTCCTGAGTAGCTAGGATTACAGGATATGAGCCATCAGTGCCAGGCTAATCAGGGTTTGGATTAAATATAAGCATTTACTCTACATCATTAAATAGTCTTCAAAAATAAAATTAGTTTAAATGAGACATAATCTATTATATGTTCTAGCTATTATTTCTTTCCCTACTAATACTTGTAAGATGAATTTCCCTTTTTTGTTCTTTTTACCTGGCCCTGAATTTTCTTGCTGTGAGATCTTGGCCATCATTTAATTTTTGCCTCCCACAGTTTACAGAATTGTCAAATGAGAGTAGTAATTATTTCCATTGTGTATGGTGTTAAGGATGTAATGAACTAATTAATATGGGAGTTGGTGGGGGGGACTGGGGATCTCAGTGGTAGAATGCTTGTCTCACATAGACAAGGCCCTCAGTTCAGTCTCGGGCACCAGCACCAAACAAAACAAAGCAAAAACAAGAAAAATACCTAAGGCAGTTACAACATTTGGCTTTCTATGCTATCACTTACTATGTTAGCCATTATCAGTTACATATATACATAATTTTAAACTAGTTATTTATTTTCTAATTGTAGAAGTAATGAGTAATGTAATTCTTATTATAAAAATTAAAGGTTAACAGAAATAAATAATGTGCAATTTATTTCATATGCACTATGTACATAGCATACACTAAACTGTTGGTCATGGCTAAGACAACAGAATTCTTGGAATCTAACTTTCACTTATTTTTTTTCCCTCTAGTATTGGGAATTGAACTCAGGGCTTCCTGCTTTTGTTTGTTTGTTTTTTCTTCACTCAAGGCTGGCACTCTGCCACTTGAGTCACAGCCCCACTTGTGGCTTTTCCTGGATAATTAGAGATAGAGTCTCATAGATTTTCCTAGTTGGGATGGCTTTGAAATGGGATCCTCAGCTCTCAGCTTCCTAGGGAGCTAAGATTACAGGGCATGAGCCATTGGCACCCTGCCAATAACTTGGTTTTGCTTTTTTTTAACTAATAATTTTCCATTTTTACTTTATTTTAGACATTAATTGCCAGTATGGTTGGTTTTATTTTGGGGTTGTTGTTGTTTGGCTTATTTTGTGGGGGTGTTTTGTTTCTTTGTTTTAGAGGAAAGGTAATCCAGGTTAACCTGGAACTAACAATTTTCTTGCCTCGGCCTCCTGAGTACTAGAATTTTAGGAATAGACGTTCACTTGATGTCCTTACTTTATGGTATAGCTCAGATAGCTTTATGTGTAAGTACTAAATGAATTTTGATTGTGATTTTTTTTCATAAGTCCTAGGACTTAAATTCAGGGCCTGGGCACTGTCCCTGAGCTTTTTATGCTCAAGGCTAGCTCTCTACCACTTGAGCCAAGGCTCCACTTACCGCTTTTTTGATAGATAGTTGGAGAAAAGAGTTTCACTTTCTTGGCCAGGCTGGCTTTGAACAGCAATCCTCAGGTCACAGCTTCCTGAGTAGCTAGGATTAAAGGTGTGAGCCACTGGCTCCTGGTTTACTTGTGACTTGACTCAGGCTTGATGGTCTGTTAGTATGGCTGTGCTCCAGTTTCTCTATTTCCTTAGTGAGCGTTTCTGCCAACATCTTTTTGCTCTTCCAAAGAAAGCTGAGGTGAGCATCTCTGGGTGCATGCCTGGGTCTCCTGCCAGTTTGTCTGTAGGAGAAATTCCTAGACGTGGAAATACTGGCTCAGTGAGTATGTAAAAAGATTTTTCAAGCCTTTCATACACCTTGCCCAATTGCCCTCCACAAAGGTCATATCAATTTAGCCTCCCACTAGGGCTTGTTTTCCCACCTGGAAGAGAAGACAACAAAGCAGAACATCCCATGCCTTTATCTCTGTCATCTAACAAGCGTCATCCACGCACACATCCTTGTTATCGTTTCTTTGTCATTTTAATTTTCTTTTGATAGTCATGAGGCTAAAGCTATTGTCATATGTTCAGTAATCATTAGTGTTTCATAGGAAAACTGCCTGTTCATTAGCCTTTATTGGCCTGTTTTTCTTTTATGTCTTGCTTTTGTTGACTTGTAGGTTCCTTACAATGTTTAAATAGTAAACCCCTGCAAGTATTTATGTTGCAGCGATTTTCTTTGCTTGGTTGGCTTTCTTTCTACCTTTATTTTTTCTCTCTTTCATTTTCAGATTGGATGATTTCTGCTAATCTATCTTCAGGCTCGATCTTTCCTTTACCATTTCTCTTCTGCTCATAAGTTTATTCACTGAACAATTGGGCTTTAAAAATTATTATTTTTACAGTTAAAATTTTCCATTTAGGCCAGAAGTCAGTGGCTCAAGTCTATAACCCTAGCTACTTAGGATACTGAGATCTGAGGATCACAGATCAAATTCAGCCCTGGCAGGAAAAGTCCATGAGATTTTTATCTCTTACTAACCACCAAAAAGCAGAAAGTGGAACTGTAGCTCAAGTGTTAGGGTACTGGCTTTGTGTATAAATAGCTCAGGGACAGCACCCAGGTTCCCAATTCAAGCCCCAAGACCACACACACGCAGATCCATTTGGCTGTGCTTTTTTTTTCTTTTTTTGGTCGGTCGTGTGTCTTGAATTCTGGGCCTGGGCACTGTCCCTCAGCTCTTCAGCTCAAGGCAAGCACTCTACCACTTGAGCCACAGTGCCACTTCCGGTTTTCTGGTAGTTTATTGGAAATAAGAGTCTCATGGATTTTCCTGCCTGGGCTGGCCTTGAACCATGATCCTCAGATCTCAGCCACCTGAGTAGCTAGGATTATAGGCATGAGCCACCAGTGCCCTGTAGCTGTACTTTTTAATATTTTTTTCCTTTGTCAAGAATTCTTCTCTGTTCCTTCATTATGAGCGTATTTCCTCCTTTATTTCATTGAGCACAGATGTAACAGTGCTTCTAGAGGTCTTGTCCAACAGTTCCAACAACTTGATTATTTTTGGGTTCATCCCTGCTGGTTATCTTTTCCCTCCAGGATCAGTCACACTTTTCTGATTATTCCCATGTTGAGTAACTAATTCTACCTGAGACATGGATATATCTGCATTCCATTGTTTTTGTTCACCTTGGAGGCCTCGGTGTGAACGCTGTCACACCATGGTAGACAGCATCTCCAATCTCCGGCCAGTTCTCCACCTCTACCAGCATTTCTCATTGTCTCTGTCATGCATGCACATGTCTGGGAGTCACATGGGAGTATGGGCAAAGTTTACAGATGAGTTTGGGATTCCTTTTCCCCAATTCTTCAGAAAACCTACTGCACTCTCTCCCTGATTAATCCAAGTTTTGTTTCCTAGTGTCTCAGGTCAGAAAGATGTGGACAGGCTGGCTGGCTCCATTTTTATCACCCTGCACTTTTCCCTGATTTTAACCCATCCTTGGGGCGAAGTTACAAAAGTGCAACTCGCCTCCTGCTGGACTGCCAAGGGTTGACTTCCCCTAAACGTTCTGGCTCCACTCACTTTCTATTTTCTATTTGGTCTATATTTTCTATTTTCCACTTTCCATTTTTGTTTTCCTTTTTTTTTTTCAGAGGTCATTGTTACAAAAGGTCTCTCTGTTAGGGCTTCATCCTTCATCTCAGAAACCAACCTACAGTCCTTTTGTTCACTTGCTTGCTTGTATGGACAGTGTTGGTTCCATTTTAATGGGAATGGAGACAAAAAGAGGAGAGAACTAGGGATGGAATGAGTTAGATTGGCTAATTGACAGCGCCCACAGTGACAGAGGGTTGTGTCCCCACAGACAGGGACACAAAACAATGCTGCTAATGAAGAATATTTCAGAACTGGTCTCCATCATTCCTCAATTCAGATCTCAGACAACAACAGATTGTGTGGCTCTTAGCCAGTCCTGTCATCTGCCTCCAACCCCACTCCTTCTCAGCCTACACCAATACAGAAGTATCCCCTACAAGGCGCAGAGAGAACGCTGCGTGGGTTTGCCTGCTGGAAGGCACCTGGCTCCTCCTGACTCATTCTCCTTCTCAGAAGGCAGGAGACTGTGGTGGGCAAAGTGTTGGCTTTGAAGATAGGCATCCCTGGATCCAGACTTTGACTTTGTCATGACCCTAAGCCTCAGTTTCCTCTTTTATGTGAAAGACCTATACATAGTACCCATTTTACAGTTCTGGGCAGATTTCTGAGAGATGATGCCCATCAAGGCTTGACACACTTGCAAGGAAGTCCAGGGCACTGTACTCCCAGATCAGAGAAGCTGTGTCGTGTCACTCACCTACTGTGTGGCCTTCTGTCTGCAGGAATTTCCATGTCTGGAATGAAGGCTGGTTTGTGAGGACTGACTTGGGCCCCTCGTACAATGGGTGGCAGGTATTGGACGCGACGCCACAGGAGAGGAGCCAAGGTAACCCCTCTGCCAGCCTTGCTCTGGGCTTGGCTCTATGCCATGAGCCTCTGCATTATTTATAGCCCAGCAGGCAGCCACCCAAAGCCCTCCCCAGCCCTGCAATGCGTGATGGGATTCAAACAAAGAAAAATGTGTGAATAATACATTTCTCCTCCCAGTTTTGCTCAGCTCAGGGCTGCTGTTTAAATGGGGCCTTCTCTTCGCCCACTTCGGCAGCTGCTGCCAGGTAGCAAGGGAAACAAGCCTTTTCTGGCCAGTAATACTTTTATGGTGCCAGGGAGCAGCTTGTCCCTCCCCACACAGAAACCTTACGGCTGCCCCTGGCCCTCTCCACTCTACACCAGGTCTCCAGGATTATGACCCCATTATGGTCTCTCGGCTCTCAGGTGTCCCCTGGCAGGCTAAGTCCCCCTTCAGGCAGACCACCTTGCCTTGCCCCTCTTTAACCTTCTCTGCCATCAGGGCTGGATCCCTAGGCTCTCTAGGAGTCCCTCCTATTCCTCCTCTCACCACTAAAGCAGCGTGCCTTTTCTACTACTGTCGTTGTGAGTTATATCTTTCCAGCAGTAAAAAGATTTATAAAGCAATATAGATTTATAAGGATTTAGAAAGCACAGCTTTGGAAATTCAAGCAATTCTAAAGGAACTTGCAATCAAAGTTAAGTCTTACCCTCCCTCCCTCAGCCCACCCTACCTTGCTTCTAGCAGAAGCAAGATATAATATTAGATTTAGGGCTAAAGAGATGATCTTCCAGATCGTTTCCAGGTCACTCTTTTCTACACTGGTTTTTTATTGCAACCATTAGCAGTTACCAAATCAAGATAATAGGTCATAAGCATCATTTTAAGAAAGAAAAATGAGAGCTGGGTGCCAGTGGCTCATGGCTGTAATCCTAGCTACTCCGGATGCTGAGATCTGAAGATAGAGGTTGGAAGCCAGCCTGAGTAGGAAATGTCCAAGAGGCTCTTAGCTATAATTAACCACCAAAAACACACACACACACAAAAACAACTGGAAGTGAAGCGATGGCTCAAGTGGTAGAGCACTACCTTTGAGCACCAAAGCTCAGGGACAGTGCCCAGGCCTTAAGTTCAAGCCATAGGAAAGGCATTTTTTAATAAGAAAAAAGGAAATGGGATAGTAAACAAAATAAAATAAAATATCAGGGTTCATTGGATCTTAGAAGACTAAATCTTAAGATGGGTATGGTGGTACATACCTGTAAACCCAGCTACTGGGGAGATGTAGGCAGGAGGTTCCCAAATCTGAAGCCAAATCAGGCAAAGCTGGTAAGATTTTACTAAAAAAACAAAAACAAAATACAAGCCAAGGGGTGCACCTCAGCTCAGGTGGTAGAGCTCTTGCTTAGCAAATAGGAAGCTCTGGGTTCGATCCCCAGTACCACACAAAAAAAGAACAAAACAAAAACCCAAGTAAATACAAATAGAATAATAGTCTTCTCTCTGTAACATATATCTTACTTTCAATCAACTGGCTACTTCCTGAGTGGAATTCTGCCTTTTCTGTCCCTCTGTCTGTCCATCATTTTATTATCTAAACTACCAAGGCAAAGTCCTGGAGTAGGGAGGGGAAGGAAGGTCAGCATTGGATGCTTAGAGGATCAAAACAATGAACTCCCAGTGTTAGAATGATTTGCAATGATTGTGAGAAGCTGCTGCTGGAGCATGATGCAGGAATATGGTCCTCTTTAGAAAACAGAGTGACACAGTGGGTCAGCTCAGGTTTGATACATAGTAGGTCAGCTTGATCAGGCCCCCACAGTGTGCACAGTTAAGCCAGTCTTTGGACAGACAGGTTTTCGGATAGTTGCTATTGTAGAATGACATTAATGGGGGCTTGTCTGCTGAATGCCAGATGCATTGGGGTGGAAGGAGTTTAGCTGGGTAGAGGCAGGAGGTTGAGATGGTGGAGAACCTTCCCCCTGCCCCCATACACACACAGAAAAGCAGGCCTGGGTGGACTGTTGTGTGGATGGGCCTCGCCTTCATAAATCGACACCCAACCTCTGCATCCGGGCTACCAGGAGTGTTCCAGTGCGGCCCTGCTTCCGTGAATGCAGTCCGAGAAGGGGATGTGGACCTGAATTACGACATGATCTTCATTTTTGGGGAGGTAAACGCGGACAGGAGCACCTGGATCCTTGATGTCAGAACCGGCAACCAGAAACAGAACACCCTGGACACTGTGTCCATCGGGAAGTACATCAGCACCAAGGCGGTGGGCAGCAACTCTCGCATGGATGTCACGGACAAGTACAAGTACCCAGAAGGTAGGAGGGGTGCTGATGAGGTGGTGGCATCTGGGACTGGGTGAGTGGAGAGCCAAAAGAAAAAAAAACATTCTCACCCTCAGCTAGTTCTGCTCATGTGGTAGAATGGCAGCACTCACTTGACTTTCAGTGGGAACAGAAGTGTCAAGGGCAACTCTAGACCAGGGGACAGACAGGGCTCAGGTAACTGTTATCCAGCTGACTTCCTGCGGTGTTCCTTTCTCAGTTACAAAACTAGAATGCTAGCCCTGTGATTAAGCATCGCAGGGAGAGACTTGTCCCTGGAGGGAAGTCCCCAAGAGAGATTTCTCCATTTGTCTGTTCCTCTAAACTCCCAGGACCATAGGCAGAAAATAGCAGCCGAACAAAAAAGGAACATGGACTTGCTATGTGCATTCAGAGCCCACCCCTCCCACACCCACAAAGCCAAAGGAAGCCATGGGAAGGCAAAGGGCAAAGCCCTAGAAACTTCTGGTCTCCCCCCAGGGTCACCTGGAAGGGCCAGCATTATAAAGGCAACTTTAGCCCAATTACATTTGTTGCTCAGAAGTTGCTTTTAGAAAAAAAAAAAAAAGCTGCATGGTAGTGCTCAATGGGGGACCAGATTTCTGCATTTGAAGGTAAAGTTCATTTTGAGAAATAGCCTAAAGTAATTAGGTATTTTCTTCAAAAAGATCAAGGTTGCTTCTTAATGGGGTCAAGAGTTTACTCTGTCTAAAATGCTCCAAATGGTTACTCCTATAGTTGGTTCCCCAGGAGTGAAGGAAAGTACTCTCATCAAGATACACACAGAGCCCCCTAAAATAAACCCACAATCTTTGAACAACTGCTAGCTGTTGGTGTTCTCCAAAGTTCATAAAACTGGAGAGCCAACAGGGAAGATGCTCTGACACCAAGGTCAGGAAGATGACACTTTTGAGTACTGGTATTTGTACACATTTTGAGGCACAACTCTTGGGGAATAAGAGCTGTGGCCTCAGTCAGACTCATGTGGCTTGACAGACTGTTCCCACAACAAATGGCCTTCTACTCGATCAAGAAACATATATGGAGGCTGCTGACCTAAAAAAAAATCCACTGAGATTGTGAGAAGAATAATGGTATTTATTGGCAAGCAGCTGAGCATCGCAATGGGAACATGCATGCCATGGCGTATGCTATAGATAGCAAACTACAGCAGGATTCACAGAGTCAAGGCACTGAGTTTTAAAGACAAAAGCAAAATTACATCAGCTATTTTGAGACAATAATCTTTGGCCACAGTGATTAATTACAGGAATGATGTCGATCTGAGGTTGACTAGGCAGCTGCTAGAGATGTCTGTGTGTGTCCGTGTGTGTGTGTGTGTGTGTGTACATACATATGTGTGTGTATGTGTATATATATTTGTGTAGTGACCTCTTTGCAAGTAGGTGATCCTGGCTGAGTTTTTTGTGATGGTACCTCCAGGTAATCTCATGCAAGAGTCTTCCTTTCATAACCTCCTAGCTTTGTATAAATGTTTGTTGTGACTGAGGTTGACATTAGGGGCTCCATGCTGATTCTGACAGCTTTTCACAAGCCCCTCCTTCGTGACTGCTCCAGGCTGAGCCCTGCTAACACATCACTGGGGCGCTAGAGAAGGCAGAGGTAGGATTTTCAATCATGTCCGAGGTATAGAAATGTGACATTGGGAGCAGGGAAAATCACCTAGAACAAGAGGTAAATGCCAGTCTTACCTCTTACAACTGTAACCTCCAGCCATTTTCTTCTGATTCCTGATCCCTTGCTTCCCCAGCTATAAAATGAGAATAACAGCCAGGCTCCAGTGGTTCACACCTGTGATCCTAGCTACTCAGGAGGTTGAGATCTGAGGATCACGGTTTGAAGCCAGCCAAGGCAGGCAAGTCCTTGAGACTCTTATCTTCATTATGCACCCAGCCACCCCCCAAAAAAAGCCAGAAGTAGAGCTGTGTCTCAAGTGATAAAGTGCCAGCCTTGAGCACAAAAGGTCAGGAACAGTGCCCAGGCCCTGAGTTCAAGCCCCAGGACCAGCACACCAAACAATCGACAACAAAAATGAGTGTAACAATGCCTATCTTCAGTTGAATTCAGATGCTCACCAAGAGCCAAGCACAGTGCTTGGCATACAACATGGAAGTCCTTGTTCATGTGGTTGTCTGTAACCTCCCTGGAATAAATTATTATCTGGTAGCTACTATGGGATACATGAGCCCAGATGTGTGTGTGTGTGTGTGCTCGCACGCGCGCGTGCGCGTGTGTGTAGGGGGAGTCTCTGCAGGATTCCTGGCAGGGCTTCAGCCTCTGCATGACAGCACGACATATCACTCTGCCTGCTGTTGCCCAGCTCTTCTTTTACCTAACGATGCCAGCTTGTCTGGAGGGCCCCAGGGAGGAAAAGCTCATAAAATGGGTTGCTAAGCATTTGCGCAACAGCAACACCACAGGGAGAAAACAGCAGCAGGAAGCTTCGTCTTGAGTAAGCCCAGCAGGTGACCTATATAGGCTTGGAGGCTCTCAGTCTCATTGTGCAAACACACCTGCTTCAAGGTCCCAGGCACGGAAGGCTCCAGTCCCTGGGTAGCCACCAGCCCTAGGTGTGGACCTGCAGCCCAGCTAGAGAATGGAAGGGCATCCAGAAGAACCCTGCCCACCAGGAGCTCTCAGCCTGGGTAATCTGGCTGCTTTCTTGCAGTAGGGTGTGTGTGGGTGGAAGCTTGGAACAGACCTGGGGGTAGCCCCGCCTCCTGCATCTCATCCCCAGCATGGCCTGCCCCCATTGGCTCTCATCTGCCCACCTTGGGATGTGCTGGCTTCTGGCATCTAACTCATGGGACGGGCTCCCTGAGGTGTCTGATGCTTATGGGAAGTCATCTGGTGCCGTGGAAAATCTCAGAAGTTGGTGGAGGAAGCTCAGGGCCATCTGCGCAGCCTGTGGCTGTCACTGGGGTTGTTTCTCTGGGTTTCTGGAAGGCCTGTACCTTCTCCATTATGGCAGATCTGCCTTCCACTTGAGGTGGGGAGTGTACTGCTCAGTCAGCCTGGCACAGGGGCTCGGAAGTGGTTGCTCAGCTTAGTGTCCCATGAGCCCTTTTAGGGACTGTCACCAACACTCTGTAGGTCCCTTCTACTGTCATATCTGTTGCACCTGCAGTCTGAATCTGAATCTGGATGCCAGCCTTTTTATCAGCACTTGCATCCTTGAAATGCAGACTCTCTGAAGAATTCAGACTAGTCAAACTTGGAATCCTATCAGCCATGAGGAAAAAATTTTTTGGCGGGGGGAGTCTAAAAGTAGGACTCAAACTCTGGGTCGGATGCTTTGACTCATGGGCTGGCTCTCTACCACCTGAGGCATACCTCTACCCCCTAGAAATTCTTGTCATCTAGCACAGACAAGAGTCACTCACTAACTCTCAACGTGACTTTAGGAAAGAGAGGGTAATGTAGAGACCTGTTTTGAACAAACGAAATTAATGAAATCCGTTCTGAACATAAGCTTTTTTCTTTTTGCTTTTGAATTCATCCATACTGTTTTTCAGATCAGCTTTTGTTACTTATAAAGTCTTAAAAATCTCCTTTCATCAAAACAGAAGGGAAGGATGTACGGATGGAGGAAGGAAGGAAGGAAAGAAAGAGAAAGGAAGGAAGGAATGAAGGGAGGGAGGGAAGGAGGGAGGGAAGAAGGGACAGAGAGAAGGAGGGGAGAAGGGAAGGAGGGAGCAAAGGAAGGAACAACACTAAACTAATCTTAGTGGCTTATACCTATAAACCTATAATCTCAGCTACTTGGGAGGTAGAGATTGGGAGAATTGCTGCTTGAGGCTATTCTGGGCAAAAAAAAAATAGCAAGATTTCATTTCAACAAACAAGGTAGATATGGTGAATCACAGTCTGAGGCTGGACCCAAAGCAAAAACTTGAGAAACGATCTGAGAAAAAATGAAAAAGAAAACAAACACTAAGGTTGTGTTTCAAATGGCCTGGCAGTTTTGCCTGACAAAGCAGACCTGCTTGGAAAAGGACCAGAGAGCAACTCGCTGGGAGACTTTTGTTGCGAAGGGATGAGTCTGATGCTTATGGGAAGTCATCTGGTGAGGTGAAAAATCTCAGAAGTTGGTGGAGGAAGCTCAGGGCCATCTGCATAACCTGTGGCTGACACTGGGGTTGTTCTCTAGGTTTCTGGAAGGCCCGTACCTTCTCCATTACGGTAGATCTGCCTTCCACTTGAGGTGGGGAGTATGCTGCTCAGTCAGCCTGGCACAGGGGCTCGGAAATGATGAGTAGGAGTCCTGGTGCAGCTGGGCACGTGCTGGTAGCGGCATGGTGGTGGCATGGGAGTAGAGCCAGAGTCACCCCTGTCCTCTGGGTGGTGCGGTCCTTGGTCTGAATTGCTGCCACATCCTGAGATGCTCCTTTCTGTCTGTTCCCCACACAGGTTCCAGTGAGGAAAGGCGAGTGCACCAAAAAGCTTTGAGCAAACTTAAACCCAACGCATCGTTTGGTGCTACATCTGCAAGAGATTTGGCCGGGGAGGAAGGAGAACCCAGCATCTCTGGGAGGTTCAAGGTCATGGGTGTACTGGCAGTGGGCAAAGAGGTCAGCCTAGCCCTGCTGCTCAAAAACTTGACCCGGGACAGGAAGACAGTGTCCGTGAACATGACAGCCTGGACCATCGTCTACAATGGCACACTTGTGCATGAGGTGTGGAAGGACTCCGCCACAATATCCCTGGACCCTGAGGAAGGTAACCCACCCTGTCCTTGCTGGGGCTCCACAGACCCAAGGTAGAGGGGGTCATCTGTCAGAGTTAGAGGGTTCTGGTTGGGTTCAAAGTGAGGCAGCTAAGGACAGAGCAATTGATGGGTTTAGACTATCGATGTTCTAGAAGTTCTCATTGCAATAAACAAATCATGCAGATGCCAGGCGCCAGTGGTTCACGCCTGTAATCATAGCTACTCACTGAGATCTGAGGATCGAGGTTCAAAGCCAGCCCACAAATACATCTGAGAGACTCTTATCTCCAATGAATTAACCAGCAAAGAGCTGGAAGTGGCATGTCCCACCCTGACAGCTTGGAGAGCATGCCACCCTCAAGGGACGTGACCAGGGTGGATTTCAGGACCCATGTTACAGAGGCTCGGAGAGAGTGAGGCCTCTGTGCAGAGATGATCATAGCAAGTAAGCAATGCTCTGGTCTTGAACCTTGCTTTCCTGATGCTACAGCCAGGGCCACCCCTCTCCCGTGTGCAGCATCTGTTGCTGCCTTCCTACTTCATTCTCCATCCACCCCCCTCCACCAACAAATCCCTTTTAGGTCCAATCCTGGCAGAGCTGCAGTAGATCTCAGGGTCTTGAGCCCTTGCCCAGTGTTCTCTCACAGCTGCCAGGGTGTGAGTAGCATGACGGGTTTCCTTGGAAGTCTGAGCATTGGGAGGACTGGTGACTCGCCCCAGGGTGGCGCAGATGGGAAGGGAATGGAGGCGGAGCCAAGGAAGATTGGTACTGTGGGATTAGAACACAGGTGTGCCATGTTGGCAAAATCCTGGAGGCTCTTATGAAAAGTTGGGGCTTACAAAGCAGATTAACAAGGGTGGAGTGGCTATTTGTTTCCCCAAAGGAATGTCCAGCCCATCTGGAGAGAATTCTGACTGCTGAGAAATTGAGATGTGTTACACCTGTCACAAAGCAGCAGCCCCTTTGCACTCTGCTTCGCCTGGCGGCCACATTTTGGCAGAAATCTTCTCACTGCCCGAGGGAACTGTTGAATTATCACTTCCTTTTGAAACTCAAAGGAAGAACTTTGGGTTGGAGGAGCTGGGGATGGGACCCAGGGCCTCACACACGCTAGGCAAGCACTCTAGATCTGAGCTCTTTCTGCAAACTAAACATATCCCTGTGAAAGATTCCCCCCAAGAATCTTCTGCAAGAGCTATTGGAGTGGAATGGGAGGTGGGTTGGGGAGGCAGGTGAAGTGAACACTCTGGGTGACTATGGGTAAGTCTTCTCATTGAGTCTCAAGGTTCAAAGGATTAGAGGATTAGACCAGATGTTGCAAAGGCCTGTCTCCTTACTTTAGAGACAGCTTTGACCAGTTCTTCTGATACTAAAAGCAGAGGCAATTTCCTCCTCACAGTCTTGCTTTCAGGCCAGCCGGCAATACCCAGGCCTAAAACTATGGGAGGAGCAAGGAAGTCATGTGACCTGAGGGATCAGAAGAGAGGGTTTGGAGCTGGTCATGTTGGCTCACTAGTATAGCATTTATCTAGTGCATACAATGTGCTGGATTCTGTTCCCAGCACTGGAGAGAGAGGCGGGGGGGGGGGAGGGGGGGGGGGGGGGGGGGGGGGGGGTGGAAGATTGACACATAGAAAGAAGCTAGGGTAGGTAGTTTCACCTAGGCAAAAGCTATGTAAGTGCAGGGGTGGAAATGGGCCTGTTTTGTGCAGAGAATATGGAGGAAGGTTCTTTAAGGAAGTGAGTTGGGTACAGGTGAGGCTGGGCCTAGTCAAAGGTGGGCCAGGTTGAAGGCCTGAATTTTATCCCTAAGACAGCAAGGAGCCATGGAAGGTTTTGTCATGACACAGAAAGAGTCTTAAAAAGCTTTGCTCCCAAGAGCCAGTGGCTCTAATTCTAGCTGCTCAGGAGGCTGAGATCTGAGGATGGTAGTACAAAACCAGCCTAGGACAGGAAAGTCTGTAAGACTCTTATCTCCAATTCACCACCAACAAGCTAGAAGTAGAGCTGTGGCCCAAGTGGTAGAGCACTAGCCTTGAGCACAAAGAGGCTCAGGAAGAGCTTCCAAGCCCTGAGTTCAAACCCCATGACTGGCACACACACACACACACACACACACACTCAAAAACTTTGCTTCATGACATAAGGATGACTTCAAGGCAGGAGAAGCCCAGAGGTGGGAAAGGAATTAGACATGCTGTTCCAGTGGGATCCCAGGTTATTAGATGGCTGGGAAGACTCTGGGCATTTACTTAGCCAATACCCTGGCTTCCCTCCCAGTTATTACTATGTAGCCATCCTTATTGCTACTGCCATTAGGCAATCAGTTAACATTCCTATTTTTTCCTCTGTCCCTGAGAAGGAAACTTGCCCTCTAATATTTTCCTGGGAGGGGCAGCTATACTTTGGTTTTTTTAGAAGTCAGGCTTGCTTGAGTCTTGGTTTCTCTCCCTGGTCCCTGCTCTGAAGCCCACCTAGAACAAGGCATGGGCGACAGATCCTCCTGCCAGCTGATCTTGGCTCAACCTCAGGCCACAGAGCTCACATTCATTCTCTGTCTGCCCCCCGCCCACTCACTTCGCCTTCCAGAAGTCCAGCACCCAGTGAAGATCGCATATGCCCAGTATGACAAGTATCTGAAGTCAGACAACATGATCCGGACCACAGCCGTGTGCAAGGTGTCTAATGAGGCTGAGGTGGTGGTGGAGCGGGTGGTCATCCTGGACAACCCCACCCTGACCCTGGAGGTAAGAGGTGGTGGGAAGGGTACCACCCTCGAGCCAGCCAGCCTGGCCCCTGTGAGCCACAGCTCCACCAAAACCACAAAGGAAAAGCCTTTCCAACTGAGGCGGGCAAAGACTGGGCTCTGCTGGGGTCCAGCCTCTGCCAAGTGGGCCATCCAAGGGCTCAGGTTCTGGCTCCCTGTATGGTAAGATAAATAAAATGTTTGTCCAGAATCTTCTTTGGCTGAGGGGGTCCAGGTGTCCTCCATTGGCCACAGCTTGCCCACTGTTTAAGAAACGGATCAGGTGCAGGTAGGACTAACCTGGACCTCCTCACTCTGTGGAGCTTCCGAATGGTAAACTCTTGGGAGTCTAACCTCAGGTGCTTGTACCCTGTCAGTCACATCCTGGTAAACTGGGGGTCTGAAGAGTCAGGGGTAGGGACGCCCCCCCTCACAAGGGGCCTTTGCTGGGCGTGGACGGGGGGAGCCTTTCCTGATCCTACAAACCAGGCCCTGTCTCCAGTTCTGCAGCCTCAGAAGCTTCTGGCTTCTTCCTTCCCAACTCAAATCATACTTTGACTGGCGCTGTGAATTAGTCCCCTGACAAATGTAAACACCTGGAGGGCAGGCACTACCCAAGTTCCCTTGGTATGGTTTCCATGGATAACCGACGACTGTAAAGCACAACTGCGCCCTCCACTGGTCAGGGGTGAAATTAGAGCTAGTGGCTCTGGGCTGGTATTTTTCCCTTCCCAGATGAGAGCAGTCAGTCATTGTCCGTTCCTTTGTGTCCCCTGGCATGTCACGTAACCTCTCCTGCTTCATATAGCATTTCCAAGAAATGTTCATTATGTTAACATAAAGGATGGCTGCCTGTATGTTCCAGTTCCTAGACCTTGGAAATAACCCTGGGCAGCAGCTATTTGAGTGATGGAAACATTTTACCTTAAAATGACTTGTGTCTAAATGAAGTTAATTTTCTCCATTATATTCGCTATCTAATATCTTCAAACTTCCTTACTTGGATTTGAACTCAGGGCTTTCTCCTTGTAGGCACACATTCTATCACTTGAGCCACACCTCCAGCTCTGCATTCACCTGATCTGTGTCCTTTGGATTTCCATATCAAGTCTAGCTTATCTTAGAATACATTATAACACCTTTAGAAATCAGGACATACTCTAGGATATGTGTACAATGGCAGGAAGTGTGCCCGTGTGAGTTTTCTAGTTGCAGCTTTATAAAGCATACCAGATCGTCCTTCTTTCGGGCATACCCCCCTACTTACGTCTCCAGACAAGTGAGAAATTCTTATCTAACTGAAGGAATCCACATATTGCTCACTCAGTGCAGGAAACAGATTTCAAAACTCATCAAGGTGATCTACACAAGCATATATTAATTTGGGTAAAAATCCCGTTCTCTTATCTGTCACTGACTGTTCATTAGCACTGGGGACTTGAGCCCATGGAATCAGACATACAATCTGAATATTGTTCCAAGGACAATATCCCCTCATTGGCTTGATTGGGTTGCATTTACAGATTCTGGTCCATGGGAGATGTGAATAAGCAACAATAAAGAAAGCAACAAATGCACAAAAAAACTAAATTAAATATCAATGAGGTAAAATATGGCACCATTTATGTAGCTTGGTTATGTCACAGTAACATAAAATTGTGTGTCATTCTACTAATGAGCTCTTTGGGAGACATTGTACATGCCCAGGTCCTTGAAATGCTTCTGTTACTCACAAATTATTGGTAGGTATTGCAACCCTGTCAAAACAGCAAAGGCTTTGGAACCAAGTGGGCCCTACTGTTTCCCAGAGTGTGAATTTCCCAAGTTATCCAATCAGTGTGAAGCTCCGCTTTGTCACTGTAGAAATGGTTGCTATGAGGACTAATGACAAGAAAATCCCCAAAACACACTAAAATAAACAGCAACCTCCAGTGAGCCTCAAAAACAGAAAAAAAGAAACCCATGAGCCATATAATTTCCATCTCCATTTCTGGCCCATTTTCTTTCTTATCCCTAATCTCATTTGTTCTCTGGTAGGAGTTAGGTGATCAGTGTCTGTCTTTATCCCCTGTGTCTGCTCATTCTTGGAAGAAGCACAATCGCTTGTGCCATTTGCTGTGAATAGTCCAGCTGGCTTTTCTGACCCTGTCCTTCATCAGGTCTGACCTCTGTATGGCCAGTAGTGGAGGCCCTGGACAGAATACAACATGATACACAGGCAGTTCAGAAGTTTAGACAGAAATCAGCAAACTGGCTGTCATCAGAAAAGCCTGGTCTGGATGGAGGTGGGAGACTTGGCATCTGGATGGAAAAGATTTGGCCAGGAGCTGGAGTCTGCACTGTCCCAGAGCTTGTGGTCACCATCTTGAATATCCATGGAAACTCCTTGGAGGGGAGGTTCAGGCTTTAAAACAGAGTGAGAGGTTCAAGAAAATGAACATTATTAAGTTTAGCATGAGAAATCACTTAACCCTCTTAGAGCCTGCAGTCCTGAGAAGGGGCTGTCCTGACAAGTAGGAGTTGCCCTTTGCTGGCAAACGGAGGCGAGTTTACAAGCTTGCCAAGGAAGATGTGACACTTTGACCAATGCAAGAGGTTCCTCTCCCTCCGAGCCCAGGTTTCCATGCCTAGCATGGAACAAGGACAATGCCTAGGAACCCATTTGTGTGGCTGTTGGCCAGCAAGCACGAAGGAGGGCTAAATAAATGCCCCCTTCCTGCATCCTCCAATGCAACCTCCCCATCTCCACGTTCTACCGACCAGCCCTCACAGGTGTCAGGCAGGGACCCAGGATCAAGCCTCCTGACCCTGCAGCCTCTCTCTCCTGCAGGTTCTGGACCAGGCTCAAGTGCAGAAGCCTGTGAACGTGCAGATGCTCTTCTCCAACCCCCTGGATGAGCCGGTGAAGGACTGTGTGCTGATGGTGGAGGGCAGCGGCCTGCTCCGGGGCAACCTCAAGATCGAGTGAGTCCTAGGCCTGCACAGCAGTGTGGGGATGACAGGAGGGGGGTAGGAGGGAGCATCAGGCCCTGGCAGGGCACACAGCCCCCTTTGACCTTGCCAGAGGTAGGGGGAAGGTCTTCATTCTTTTGGGAGAGGGCCAGTTGGACCACAGGAACCTGCATTTGTAATTTGTAATTCACAAAATTTGAATTCTTCAGAGGGCCGAGTCATCACGGCAAGTAGCTGGCCCTGAGAACTCAGCATACTTCTTGTTGTTGTTGTTGTTGTTGTTTTATTGTGCTGTTGTTTTTGGGCTTGAACTCAAGGTCTGACTGCTGTCCCTAAGCTTTTTTTTTTCCTCAAGGCTAGCATTCTATCTCTTGAGCCACAGCTCCACTTCCATCTTTTTTGGTGGTTCATTGAAAATGAGAGTCTCATGGATTTTTTTTTGCTCTAGCTGGTTTCAAACCACGATCCTCAGATCTCAGCCTCTTGAGTAGCTAGATTGCAGGTGTGAGCCACTGGTACCCAGGGAGCTTAGTATTTTGTGGGAGACCAGTTGGCCCTACCTTCTTCTGGAGAGGGTCACAGGGCTGGAAGGGCCAGGTGGCCCAGGGAGGCAGCTTAGAGGTTGCTAAACAAACCTTGCCTTCCCATGACTAGAGAGTAGGGGATGGGGGTCACAGAGGTACAACCTGCCTGAACCCCATGGATCTCACATCAACACCGACTTGTGTCCTTTCCCCATCAGAGTGCCAGCCCTACGCCCCAAGGAGAAGTCTCGGGTCCGTTTTGAGATCCTGCCCACCCGGAGTGGCACCAAGCAACTGCTCGCTGACTTCTCCTGCAACAAGTTCCCCGCAATCAAAGCCATGCTGTCCATCGATGTGGCTGAATGAAGAGTCCAGTGGTCCCCCCCACACACAGACTTGGGGAACACAGAGCAGGGAGGGCTTGCTGTGATGTGAGACTCCTGCCCATGCTGTTCAGCCCTAGAAGCCCCTTCTGGTCCCAAGGCTGCTCTGAGACATGGACCTCCAACACACCCCAGGCTGGGGCCGAGTCCTCCCTGGCTGCTACTTGATCACTTTTGCACAATCCCTGCCTGCTCTGTGAGCCCACGGCCCTGCTCACCCCTACCCCCACCTCCACCCCTCCTCCCTATGCACACAACGCTACAGGAGCTACAGGACCGGGCTGTCCAAGTGCACTCTGGGAGAAGCCAGTTTGGACTGATTGCTGATCTAGAGCTGAGCCATTCCCTGCTCCTCCTTTAGGCTCGTTGGAGGGCAGGGGATGGTTCAGTTATGTGCTGTTGTATTCACATCCTGACAATCAAAATAAATGTTTAAACAAGTGTGATTATACAGCGACTGCACAAGACTGCTGCTTCGCCTGAGCGGAGGGAAGAGAGGGAGGAAGACAGCAGGGTTGATCTGCTCGTGGATCTGGAGAAGGGATGAATTTGCTCTGTGTTCCAATGTCTTGGGAAGTGGGCTCCAGGTACAAACATAGAGAGACACATCAAGCCAAATTGAGAGAAAGAAAAAAATTCTAATATGTCCCAAAGTAGACCAAGTGAACTGGGGAGGGAGCTCCTCTCTAGGACTTATTACTTGTTTCAGAGTGACAGAGGACTTTGCTGGAAGGCTTCAGCAGAGCAAGCTGCTGGTGGTAGCCCAGTCTCAGCTCAGCTTGGGTTCTTTCCTGGTGTGTCTGTTTTGTGTTGCTGTAACAAACCACCAGAGGCAGGATCATGTCCAAAGACAAGAAGAGGTTTATCTATCTCGTAGCCTTGGGGACCAGAAATCTAACAGTAAGGCAGGAGCTGTGTTGAGGGCTTCAGGGCAGATGGTGAGATCATGTGCAAAAGGGAAAGGTGACATGGTGTATCAGCAAGCCAGAGAGTGGGAAGGGGAAGTCCTGTGGTAAAAAGCCACTGGAGGGGGGCAGGGAAATGAATGAGGAGGGGAATGAATGACTGTCATGTTTACTGAGGGCCCTGCCTCTCAACGACCTGACAACCTTCTAAGAGCCTCCCACCCCTCTCCCACAAGTCCTACCACTGAGCTGCCCACACCGAGAGCCATGAGCCTGAGGAAAAGCTCAACCCCTGGCCAGACCATAACACCTTATGCCATGCTTCTCTTTGGACAGCCAGGAGAGGTGTTCCATGTCAGCTGGCCACAGGGCCATTAAGGGCCCCATGTAACCTCTGATTGCTCCTCAGTCCTCACCCCTTAAAATAACTCCCAATGGATCCCATAGTCCTCCTGTTAGTTGTGCTGACAACTCCCATTGTGGCCATTCTACTCGACTTCCTAAATGTCAGGAGCCAGCCCAGTCTCTGCAGAAAGCTCCACACCACCTGTAGTCCTAGCGTCTCCACTTATGCTCAGCTCAGGTCTCCCTTTGCTTAGGAAGGAGACCCTTTCCTTTCCTTTCCTTTCCTTTCCTTCCTTTTTCCTTCCTTTTTCCTTTCTCCTTTCCTTCCTTCCTTCTTTCCTTCCTCCCTCCCTCCCTCTCTCCTTCCTTTCTTCCTTCATCTTCCCTCCTCCCTCTCTCCTTTCTTCCCTCCTTCCCTTCCTTCCAGTTGAAAGATTTCTGCTCTGGTCTCCCACAGAAAGAATACATCCAGAGCTGATTGTTTCCTCCCAGTCACTGGTGGCTGAGCCCAGACTAATTCTTTCAAGCATCCACCTCTTTGGCAAGCACTTCCTGCCATTTTGTGCCAGGCTCTATGTTGAGCCCATGGTCCAGGATGATTAAAAACCGACAGCAGCTGACCTTGGCTTTTCACCCTTGAGGGCGATTCCTAAGGCAGAGCATTAAAAATCCGTGCGCAGTTGCTAGCCAACCCCAGACACAAGGGTCTTGTGAGAGATGAGCCTAATCAACTTCTTGTCCCACTTAGGTCCTGAGCAATTTCAGTAATAAAATAAAAGAATAGTGGGCAGGCAACTACATCGCTACATTTATTCCTGGTAGAACTGAAGCGAGAGGTTATAACCTAATGTTGAAATGCAAAGGGGCCTGCAAGGCAAGTCCCAGAATTCAGGGGGTTTGCATATTGGTTGGGGTCCAGACTCAGCTGTCAGAGCAGGTAGATGCAAAATACCAGGGTTCTAAACAAGACAGGCCTTTATTCCTCTCTCGTGTTAGTGTCCAGAGAGTCAATGCAGAGATCCAGGCTCTCTTTGTCTGCCATCTTCTACAGCTGGTTCCCCCTCCCTGCATCCCCGCACCCTTCCACCCCCCACCCCCACCCCTGCACCATAGTAGCTTCAAATGGCGATTCCAGCTTAAGGAATAATGCCCAAGACCTCCCAACAAGAAGGAATGAAAACAGAAACAGTTAGACATCTCTTTTCGTATCCAGGAAACAGTCTAAAAGTTGGCATTTGAAATTATTCATTTCACTTCTGTCCATTTCCATTGGCCAGAACTTCATGGTGTGGCCGCAGCTAGCTTTGCGAGAGACTGTGGCCATTAGCTACATGGTCTTTTATGCAGCTAATATTGAACATTTCTCTCACTATAGCAAAAAAGGTAACCAGGAGCCTCGACCCTGTCTACCCACATAAGGGCAATGCTGGATGAGGGTATAAAGGACATTTGGAGTATCCAGGTATGGTAGCACACACCTATAATCCCAGCTACTTGGAAGGCAGGGGTAGGAGAATCTAAGCCTGCATCAGACCCACTCAAATAAAGCATGAAATAAGTCCTATCAAAGAAATACAGAAAATAAAAAAGATGGAGTCTTGGCTCAAGTAGTAAAGTGTACCTGCCAAGCAAGCTCAAAGAAACTTGGAAGAGCCAGAGGATTTTTACCTGGGGCCAAGAGGAACAAGAGTAAAACAAAATTACTCACAGCTAGTTATTCCTTCCAAGTTACTCTACCAAGTTAGTTCTACCAACTACTCATAAACCAAGGGAACCTACCAGAGAGGAACTATGTCTCCTAGGCACCCAAAGTGGGAAAAGGCCTTTTCCCAGAGCAGTTCCTTCCCTTCCTTAATCCAACCTTAGTTTCTTTCGAATGTCCACCTTGAGGATGCCTTGAGGATGGCCCAGTGTGCCAGGGGCCTGGCTTTCCCTAACCCTAAATATCCTCACAAGGATGAGCTCAGCCTTTTGAAGTCAGATTCATTGTTTACCCGGATCCTAGTCAGGTGGAGAACCAAAATAAGAATTGACAGCATAGAAAAATCAAATGTGTCAGTTAGACCTTTGGGAACATCAAAATGGGGTTAGAACTTCAAGAGATTTATTGGAGTGTTGCCCAGTAGGGGTGGGGGGAAGAAAGTAAGCAAGCAAGTATGCAGGGTGAACCCTTGGACCCATGACGCGGGCCTGATGTGTAAAACAAAAGATAAAAGGAGGGAGAATTGGGGAGAGGAATCATGGTGCAGCCATTCCAGCCCAGTACCATAGTGCGAAGATTTCCATAGAGAAGTCAGTCCAGGGCTAGATTAGCCTGGGTTGGTCCTGCATAGGAGACGCCCTGGAAGACCATGACCCTGACCCCAAGACTGAAGCAGGATGGGCAGCATGGAGGTGTCCTGGTCAGTTCCCTGAATTATGCATAGTAGGTTAGCAGGTTCTTTTTTTTTTGAGGGTGGGGTTCAGTCCTGGGGCTTGAACTCAGGGCCTGGGTGCTGTCCCTGAGCTTTTTGTGCTCAAGGCTAGTGCTCTACCACTTTGAGCCACAGTACCACTTCCAATTTTCTAGTGGTTAATTGGAGATAAGAATCTCACTGACTTTTCCAGCCCAGACTGGCTTCAAACTGTAATCCTCAGACCTCAGCTTCCTAAGTAGCTAGGAGATTACAGAGGTGAGCCGCTGGTACCTGTGTGGCAAGTTGTTGATTGAAGGCAGCGCAGAGCAGTCCCTCTCCCTGGGCCCTGAAGGCAGCCACTAGTGGTGCGTGAACTCTTGTAAGGCCGAGCCCATGCTGTTGCCAGGCAGAAGGTCCACAGAAGGCCTGTTGTATAAACCAGTACCTGTGCCACCTGGCAGTCAAGATTCCTTTGAGAGGGACAAGGCGATTCATGGGAACTCCTTGGATCTCTCGTTTCTGTTGTCAATCTTACAGAGGGCCTCCTTTGCAAGACACTTGAAGAGATCACGCAATGTCGCATCCAGCTAGTCACTGCCTCTTTGGAATGTTTCCTATGCCCCAGCCCTGAGCCAAGTGCTTTTTTTTTTTTTTTTTTTGGCGGTTGTGGGGCTTGAACTCTGGGCCTGGGCGCTTGTCCCTCAGCTCTTCAGCTCAAGGCGAGCGCTCTACCACTTGAGCTACAGCGCCACTTCTGGTTTTCTAGTGGTTTATTGGAGATAGGAGTCTCACGGTCTCTCCTGCCCGGGCTGGCTTTGAACCGCGATCCTCAGATTTCAGCCTCCTGAATAGCTAGGATTACAGGCATGAGCCAAGTGCTTTCTAACCACTATCTCACTTAATCTACCCAACAAGCATTGGAGATTAATGATGCTGACCTCTGTGTTACCTTGGTGGAAGGCACACAGAGGTTGAGTCATTGGTATAGAGAAATTTTGAGTTGAAGCCTTTTGACTACTTTCAAGTCCCAAACCCACCATGCTATTGTATCAGGTACTTCTGGTTACCTGTAGTTTTCTTCCTTCTTTCTTGTTAATCGAGCCTCAGTTTCATCTGGGGCCCATACCATTGTGGCTAGCCTCAGAGGAAGAATTCTGATTGGTCTAAAGCCAAGATGACAATCTTTCTCCCTTTGGAGGTGGACATGTGACCTAGTCTGGACAAAGGGGCTAAGAAGAATTTTATGATAGACTTTTGGGAAAGAATTCCTTTCCTGATTTTTTTTAAAGGCTAACCATAGTGATGTATGCCTATAATCTGAGGAATTTAGGAGGTGGAGGC